CTCTTCCCCTCAACCCCTTTTTCAACTCCGATCTACTCGCCGTCCGACCTCCAAATGACGAGCCGAAACAACCATCGTGTTCGTTGTCAACCGAGGAACAAAACCCCTCAAACCTTTCGTCGTGAATCATCGCCGTTCGTCGTGAATTTCAGTCGGAAGTATCGTCGGTAATAACTCGGTTTTAGTTGGTTTTTCATCGATTCACGACGATCGGGTCATCCGTTTACGACACCTCCCACACCATCGTGTTCCTTGTGCCGTTCCGAGTCCACCGGTGTTCTCCTTTTTCTCCGGCGGCGGCGGCGCGTTGGGAGGTGAACCGGTCAAACTTCCCGATTTGTTGAAATCGAGCTCTCCGCCGTTCAAAATTGTGAACCGAGCTTTGTAAGTATCTCGAAATCGCTCAAAATAATTTTTAGAAATTTTTCCGGGATTTTATCACTGTTCACGCGCCCCCACGCGCCGCCACTGCGCGTGGGGAAGGGAAAAGTGACCGGTTTGACCGGTTTTGGAACTGTTTTGACCGGTTTGACCAGTCACAACCCGACCCGACCCGTTGACCCAACCCGACCCGTTTACCCGACCCGTTGACCCGACCCGACCCGTTGACCGTTGACCCGTTGACCGGAGTTGACCACTGTTGACCAAAACTTTGACCGGCTTTGACCGGGCATTAAACGACCTTTGACTTCGACCGAGTATACCTATCCTGACATTTTTCGACGTTCCAAATCCGATTCCGCTGTCCGTTTTTCGAAATTCGAACCCGAAGGCCTCGAAATTGTCAGTCAAACCCGTTGACTTTGATTTTGACCAAAAATTCCAAATTTCCGAAAAGTCATATTTTATGCTTTCGACGTCCTGAATCCGAATCCGAAGTCCGTTTCGCCAAATTCGAACTCGGTAAGCCGTCTTTCACTGATTTATCACCCGATTCGATCCGTTTATCGTAATTAAGCTCCGTTTCTGATATAATTTATGTTGATATGTATCTGAGGAATTATTGGAAGTTGAATTGAAGATCAAAGGCGTTCGAATGGAATTTTTATGGTCGATCAGTATTGCACGGAAATCGAGGTAATACTTTACTACCTCTTTATGCTTTATAGAACATGTTGGTATTGGTAAATGCATGAATGGAAATGTTTGGTCTCATATGTGTAATTAATGAAGTTCTACACTCGATCTGAATACGGTAAAAAGGTTCAGTAATTGATTATGGTTCAGATGACTTTTATAAGAAATTAAGGGATTGCTAGAATTAAATTACAAGTTGTGCTTAGTGGTAAAGAAATCAACCTGGATCTGTAAATTATAATTTATTTCATCAAAGGTTAAATGTTAAAGGCATTTGGATGTGAATTTATGAAAATACTCCGGTAGGGTAAAATTACGAAAATACCCTTGTGTTAAAAAGACAAGATTGGAATATGGAAGTTAGATAAGAGGATTTTACAGACATATTGATCTGATAAAAATATTGATGTGCATAAGAATGATAGTTATACGTAGACATTATGGATAACCGGTTTTTAACCCCAAGAGGGTTTATGCAAGATACTAGAAGTGTGTTAAGGGAATTATTTCAAGATCAGAGATTGTTCAAGAAAGCAATTAATCATAAGATCTCTAAATTATATTATTTTCGTTAAGAGCTAATATCGAACTTATCTGGTTAAGAAATTATGGAAATGCCCTTAAGAGATAGAATAGTCTGAGATGACTCTGACTGAGAAAATACTTAGAGGATTCGTACTTAACTCGATTAAGTACGGATTTAATTGTTAAGATCCCGACTTAGTGCAGGAAAATTTCTGATATTCCGTTTGTAAAGTCTGAGAAGACACTTGACCTGAAAATATTCGAATAATGATTAAATACTTGAAGAGTAATTTATCGGGGGTATTCTGCTGTCAGAATTGTTCGAAAGGACTGAAGTAAATGATAAGATTGAATTAAATAATAAGATCGGATGGAAGGAAAAGATTGAAATACCGTAGATCTTTAAAATGACCAAAATACCCCTGTAATGGAAATGACCCAAGATTATCACCAAGCTCATGAATGATTAGATATCCTCGAGCTCTGAAATGAATGTAATAAAACTAAATACCAAAATTACCAAAATACCCTCATGACCTATACCAAGTAAATGCCTTGGATTAATTAAGGAATCCAAATAAACATAGGTATTGGCATACCTTTAAAAGTAATGGAAAACAACTTAAGTGAGTAGATCAACCCTAAATCTATGTCAATACCTAAATAGCATAGATATTACTGGAATGCGTGTTCGTCTTCTTAAGTTTGGCTCGATGATAATTTTGGAAGTATTCAACTCAACTCAACTCTAGATCGCATTCAGTACTATGAATTGGACGTTTGTTAGTCAAATCAACCATGAAGACCAAATCGAATGGAATGGAAGTACAACATGTATCTAAAATTCAGTAACGTCTAAATTACTCTGAAAAACCCCGAAGTAACTGGAATGAATTTGACTGCTAAATAAGCTAAGTAACCTCAATGATCGAGGATTAAGTAAGTGAATTGGATAAGTCTGGAAATTTTGATGAGTTTATAAGATGTACTGTCCTTATGGAACATGAACTACAAATCAAGCACGTCAGTATTTCATGATATCGTGGAAGCTTGGAAATGAAATAAAGATCATTGGAAGATCTATTCAGCGATGATTCTGAAGGTGATCTATGAACAAGAATTTGTGGTATTAAAAAAGTAAATACCCTGGAAGGGAAATGAATTGACCAGTGGATATAAATTGTTAAGGTTCTGAATCTTCGTTATCAAGTTGTTCGATTATCCGATCAATTGACATGGATACAAAGGATTCTGAATACCCTTCTGATTATGTACAACTTCTGAAAACTGTCCGAATAAGATATGATCCTGATAATTCACATTCTGAATAACTGATGATTCTGTCAGTTAATGAACTCTTCCAATAGTGATTCTAAATTTCAATATTCTATCGTTAAACTAAAGATTTGTGTTTCTCTGCCCGATAAGATTATCCTGTATCTCTAAATAATATTTGGAAACTCTAGTGTGTTCCTTACTTATATGAATATTTTATCTGATTTCTGATTTGAATTATGTTTTGACATCTGATCTGAAATCTGTTCTGATTCCTAACCTGGATTCTGTTATGATATCTGATCTGAATTATATTTTGATTTCTGATATCTCCGTTTACCGACGGAGAAATGTTTTATCTGGGGTTTTATTGTTGGAGGAAGATTATCTGCAGACTCCTCGGCTTTGTGCTCAGGGTCTAAATGGCATGTGCGGTTGGGTGTATAGTTCTGGGGAACCTACACATTTATGATGTGGACGGATGGGGGTATATATATATATATATATGTTTTAAAAGATCTGTATCTTTTTACTGAATTTTTCGGGAACACACTAGAAAACCTATTCTGAACTCCTGAACTCAATCATCCGAATTATTTATCTGAACTGAAAGCTCATTGTCCGTTAGCACCTGAAATATCAGTAGGATTCCTGCTCAGTATAAAAATCTGTAAATATCTGAATCAATAAGGAAAATATGTTTATCTGTATCTGCACGTTTTCCAGCATCATATGGTAGTTCTGTATTACTGAGCTTTTCGAAGCTCACTCTATTACTCACCTTTTCAGGTTAAAAGAATTGTACCAGTGCATCTATCGATTTCAGTAAGGGAGTTCTTCCGGTGTTGTTGCAGAGTATGGTACATGTGATTAGGGGGCATGTAATTGTATTTTGATTTATATACGAGTCTGGAAATATGTTTTATTTTTAAATAGTGACAAATGATTTTATAAGTTTACATGTTCTGATAAAATGATTTAAATTTTCCGCTATTTTTACAATGGGTCGCTCCGGTGGCCCTAATGTGACACCCCGGATCGGATTTGGTTACCCTTATCGGTCTGTGGGGGTTACAAAATTAATTTAACTATTTTATGATTAAAATTAAAGATTTGTATTTGATACATTATTAATGTATAATTTTATATACATTATTAAAAATTAATTTAAAAAAATTACTTTAAAATCATTAACCACCGTCTAATTTATTAGTAGTGAATAGTCATAGAATTCATACACATATATCAAATATAATTCTTAAAATTATAAATTATTATTCGATACATAATCAACGAAAAAAATAATTCCACAAAAGGTGCTTAAATTATAACAATTACATTTTAGACATATTTAAAAAAATAAAAATAAATATCATTATCAATATCAATATATTTTTATTAAACTCTAATTTTTTTATCTTTCTCTTGTGTTGTGGTTAATCTCTTTTCTTTGTATTCTTTGTGACCCACGGTAGCACTAGCCTTACTACTGCTTGTCGTTGAGGTATTCATTATTTTTCATTTGTTTTACTATATCTTATCCTTATTTTTTTATTTTTTATTTTTATTAATATTGTTTTTATAACACACTTTTCTCTATCTTTTATAACACATTTTCTTCTTCTTTTGAAACTTTTTTCGATCATTTTACATTTTTTTGTTTATCCTTTTTCGTAGGGTCGGATTTGAGATCGCTATCTCTGGTCAAGATGATATTTATTTGTTATCATTTTGATTTTCACTGATTTGGACCCTAAGAGTGTATTTGGATATACGATTTGCGTTTATGGACATTTTCTTACGTCACTCGACTCTGATTTACGGTTTGTTGATGATTTTTCAATAATTTGATATCCTTTTATGATTTGTTTGTCGATGGGGTCAAGTATTTTTGTATATACCTTTTGTTTGAGTTTATTTAATTAGGTATTTAATCTTTTTCTTATACGTTCCTTTTGTGATCTTGAGTGGCTAGCTTTTTGTATTAATGATTATAGTAAAATATTACGTATTTAGTTAAATTTTCTGATATATACTATTTCCCTAACCCCTTAGTTATACTCATCAGAATCCTCATATTTCAGGTACCGTCTTCTCTGAGTTTTCTGCTTGTTTTTATGTGAATGATTCTTACTCTGTTATATGGCTTTGTTATTGATGTGATCTTCCTCTGTTTGACAGTTGGAATTGAGTGTAGATTTCATAAATACCAATGGAATGAAGAATTCAAAACTGATGGTCATAACGATTTTAGATGTTTGGTTGATAAGGATATTGAGACTAGCGCTCCCTTGTCTTTGATCAGTAACATTTCTAGGGAAGAAGACATATATACTGGGGCACAAGCTGTTCCACCTTTTTCTCCTCGAAAACAAGTTCTGCTTGGGCCAAATCATCAAGCCAATATTCCTTTGTTGGGTAGGCATATAAAGAAGGATATTTTCGTTCAAAATGGTGCATCAGACACCAATGATATTAACTATGAAGAGATTATGATGGGAACATGTATCATTCCAATGCCCGACTTAGATATTTCCGCAAATAACAGTGGCAACATTGGTGCTGGCAGGACTGACTGTGGCTGCCTGGATAGGGGCTCGTTTAGATGTGTGCAACAGCATGTCATGGTAGCACGGGAAAATCCCCGAAAATCCCTTGGGCATGAAAAATTTGCGCGGCAGGGGTTTTATGACATGGGAGAGGATGTTGCACATAAATGGAGTGAAGATGAAGAGATATTCCGTGAGGTTGTTTACAGTAATCCTGCTTCATTGGGTAAGAAGTTTTGGAAGCACTTGTCAGTGGTTTTGCCATCACGATCGAAGAGGGAGCTTGTCAGCTATAATTTCAATGTCTTTATCCTTTAGAAACGAGCTGTTCAGAACAGATCCAGTGTTCTGGAAATTGTCAGTGATGATGATGAGTGGCATGGAAGTCAACAGGCTTATGTAGTTGAGGCTTCAGAGAAAGATGAAGACTCTTCTGCTATTGAGTCTCTTGCTGATCAGGAAGGTGTTGCCTACCATGAAAGTGATTGTCTTGATGATGATGAGAATGGAAGTGAAGACGATGACAATGATAGTAGTGACTCTGATAGTGATAGCTGTGATGGTAAATTACAGCAATGCCACAGAAAGAGAGGATTATGGTGTAAATCTTTTGTTAAAAGGACATGTTTCAAAACCATTTGGTGAGAGCAAGTTCAATGCTGTTTTTGAACGAACAAACGAAGTTTCAGAACAGGTAGAGGATTTAGATGTACAGGATGACTCGTGCATGTCTTTTGTGTTTCAGCCAAACATGGTCGACTCTCATAGTCTGATTGACACCAAAGGCTGGTTAACACGATAGAGAAATGAAGACCGACCTTAGCAAGTGTATGGAGGCTAAATTAGATGGGTCTAATGACCTGGTGAGTCAAGTCTATTTATTGGATACCTGTATTGATCTCCAGCCTACATGAAACATTATTGAAGATATCTTTGGAGAAGACACTAGGGATAACAAGACAAGAAATGAATAAGCATCGAATAATGGCTAAGACTTTCGGTTTTGACTTCTTCTTTCGTTCTTTTTTCCCCCCCTCATCAGTTCATTTAGCAAATGTATTTTGCTTCGGCATGTTCAAAAAGTGCTGTTAATGAGATCTTTTCTGCTTTTGTAAACGACACAACAGTAAAGCACTCTTTTTTCTGTTTTTAGGGTCGAAAGTTGCTGCAGCATGCCGGTAGTCCTTTTTAATTATTAAGTTGAAATTTGTGAAGAATCCTTTTGTGGGTAAAGTAACAGGCAGTCCATGATTGGTCATTAATATTATTAATTTATAATAAATCAGTCATTAACATTATAGATTTATAAGAAACTGATAACGAAAAGCTTTCCTAACTCACTAATTGCTTGTCTGACAACGTTGACCGCCATGCTGAAAACTCAATCTTTGTTGACCAATTACCTCTTCATATATTTCGTCCCAAAATAACCCACAGTAAAACAATATGTATTCAAGACCCTTTTATTTCTCATACTTTTCGTCCTCCATTGTTCAACAACCTTAGCCCAATGTCCGGCGAAGTTGAAGAAGAAGGCTGTTTGTTGTTTTCGAAAGCCCTGATGAAACACTTGCTGATAACTCCAAAGCGGCCATTACCATGCAAAAAGCCTTGTTTGGTGTTGCTGCTGTAATTGCTGCACTTTATTTGTAACCATGAAAATGGAGAAAAGATGGTGATTTTGATGGGTTGGATTAATATTTAATGATGGAAGTGATCAAGATGTTGGGTGTTTTCTTTCTTTTTTTTCTTTTCAATAAATATCATTATTAAATTGAATTTTGATATGTCTTATGGTTCTTTGTTTATTGTGTTAATTTCATTTGATTTTTGTTTTGCAATCAGCTCATTGCATTTTAACTTGGCATCTGTTGTTGGTTTCATGTTCGACACCAAGTATAGTATCGTCCCATCCTTTTGAATGTTGAAGAAGAAGATAAAAAAGGGTTGTTTAGTAGCCAGACTTTCTCTTGTTCAGTACCTACCTTCCCTTTTTCCTCTACACTCAATCAAAATCTGATAACGTACAACTTGCGTTACATAATTGCCTCATTTGCTGAAGAGAAAGAGCAGCCTCCAACGCCACCTGCGCATCGAAAACATCCAATTCTTAACCTCGCTTTCTCCCGATGAATACCCTCCTTTCGAAATGTTCCACAAATGCTTGGGCTAGAAGTGAAGAAACTTGCTTAGGTTTCCTCACACCCCGTTCTCTTTATCTCGTTCAGTCGCACTCCATTTAGCATATTCATGAAACTCCGGATGACACGGGCTTGCGTCCCTCAAAACTCTTGTCAGAGGCTAGCCTTCTAGCTTCCCTGGGAATCAAGTATACTTTCGTTGTAGGCGAAACACAGGGAAGTTATACAGTGCTGACACCCTTAATATACAATTAAAAGAAGACGTTATCGGTTTTGTTATTATTTAAATAATAAAATCGATAAAAAAATTACTTAAAATATTATTATTTCTATCTAAAATATCAATATTTTTTAACATTTCCGGTAAAGTGCCCAACAATAACAAAACCGGTAGAAAAAATAACAAAATCGATAGCGTTTTACCGGTTTTGTTAACAAAACAGGTAAAAGGTCCAATAATAACAAAACCGGTAGAAATAATAATATTTCCGATAATTTTCTACCGGTTTTTGAAGACAACCGATTTCGTCCGATTAATATTATTATATTATATGATTACAAATTATATTATATAATATATATTTACACTCATTTTATTTTTACAGGGCCCAAAACAAAAACACCCAATAACCTAGTGGCCCACAGTGGACCCAACAGTGAGCCAAAACACGTGACCCACTTGAAGCAATCCAACCTCGACTCCGTTCTTGTAGAAACCGTGACCCGAACCGGTTAAGCTAGGGTTTGTAACCCTAGCTTCTCATCCCCTCGAGCAGCGCCGCATATCCCCCTTTGGAGAGTCCACGACCCTCGGTCAATCACTCACCCCGAACTCCCCGGCGTCGTGGATGCATGGAACACAAAGACAACCAAGCAAGGAATTTAGTTTTACTAAGACTCCTAAAAATAGATTTTTTTACTACTATAAATAAATGAAACCTCACATTCGAAAGGGATACGATTTACACGAGATTACACTAGAGAAACAAACCAAAGCACTTGTATCATTTTGAAAAGCAAGGAAATAAAAAAAAATGTATACTTTTTTTTACCTTCGATTTGATGGATCTTGGCTTGCATGTTGTTTTTTCTTCGATTTAAAACCCAAAGGCCGATGATTAGGGAGGGATTTTTTTCGAGAGCTTTTGCTTTAGATCTAGCTCTCCCAAGGCCCATTTTAAAGGGAAAAAACTTGGTTTTTGGAAAGAGGAGGGGAAGAGCAATCGAAAGATGTATTTTTTTCATATGGCCACCACCAATGAACGGTGGCCGGCCAGATTATGGATTTTGGGGCGGCCGTGTTCTTCGCAATGAAGAACACAGTTGAGGCTTGAGAGAAAATAGAGAATGGGGTGGGGGCTTTCGTTTGAAATGAAGGAAATGAGAAAGTTTTAAAAAAAAATTGACTTAAATACTCAACCCGATCCGACCCGCGACCCAACCCGTCCGCCTTGAAGGTCCGCATGTTCTCTTAAATAAAAGGGGGAATTCGATTTTGGTCCCCATGTTTTTTTAACATTTTATTTTCCCCCAAATTTGACTTTTGCACCAATTTCCCTTTTAATTTTGATTTTTATTTCACATTAGCCCTTTTAATATTATTATACATATATATTTTTTTTATTTTTTTACTATTTTTTATTTTTAGTTTTTTACTATTATTATTATTATTATTTTTTTTTTATTTTTATTTATTTCTTTTTCTTTTCCCTAATATTTTACTTAGACGTTTATATATATATATATATATATTATACCTAATATTTTATATGTATATATTTTATTATTTATTTTATATATTTTATTATTTATTTTTACTTATTTAATACTATATCTTATTATACACTTATATATTGTTTTTGTTTTCTTTTTTCTTTTTATATTTTTATTATTATTTTTTATGATTTTTACCTAATATTTTTATTTATATATATATTTGTATCAAAACATTTTTCTTTTTCTTTTTTTTGTGTTTATTTACTTTATTTATTAAATACTATACTATATATATATATATATCACCTCACATTTATTTGCTATGTCCCCTCTTCCTCTTTTTCTTCCTGTCATCTCTCACTCACCAAACTTTTACTCTCTTTTTTCTTTCGATGAAGTGATTGTTTTCTTTTTTTTCTTTTTTTCTCTCTCCTATTTATTATTATTATTATTTTACCTAATAGTTATATATTTTCATTTTTATTTTTTTCATTATTATTTTGTTCTTTTTTTCTTTATTGTTTTTTTTCTCTTTATTTTATTTGATTTGGTTCCGTAATTTAGTTAACTTATTTGATTTTTATTGGTTCTTTGTATTTATTTTCTTTATTTCGTGATATTTTTATAGTTATTGTCTTTTTGATTCTGCATTTTACTTTAGCCAACATTTTTATGACTTTTTAAGGGTACATTTTCAAAATCGTTAAAGGTAAGTAATTTGGATCATATTTTTACCTTTTAATTTAAACTTTCAATTTTCTTAATTAAAGACAACTGGAAATTAAGTAGTACCGAAAGGGCAGTTCTAGGGTGCTAACCCTTCCTTGATTGTAACTGACTCCCGAATCCGACATATCTTTGGTAAGATACAGATCGAGTAAGAAATAAAGTATCCGATCAACCCATTTGTTCTTAAAATAAATGATCGGTGGTGACTCCAAATCATTCCATTCAAGTCGAAGCTCAATTCCGGACCCACCCGAAAGACGGTTCCGACAGCTTGGCGACTCTATTGGGGACAGGTAAGTGAGTCAGTCTAAGGTAATTTCCAGTTGTCTTTTTAATGAAAAGGGTAAGTTTAAATTTTAAGGTAATTTTTCAATCCTTATTACTTACTTTTGATTACATTTTCAAATAAATAGTTGTACTGACAATTTCTTTCGACAGTTTCAGTTTATCAAACTCCTTTTCCACCTAAGGCTCTAAATCCGAGCTCCAAACCCGTTTTTAAGTGGGGCTGAAAGCGACGCTCTCATGAGAATTTATTCTCCGTATGGGCCTAGCAAGTAACCTTTGGGATTCATATACCTTATGCTTTCGCGTGAATTTATTCTCCGTATGAGCATAAGGGAATGTATCCTCTCGAGTTTAACTTAGTCCACACAAGCTTGTAATGGGGTTAGGACTAAGGGTCTGGCAAGCTCAAGGGGGCACCATCAAGGAGAACTCGGGTACCTTCTTTAGAACCTAAACTGAGAGACTACAAGGAATTAGAGCCTACCTCAAAACCTCATTCCAACCCTAAGCTATTTTGAATTCATTTCCTGCCTTATTTTATATTCAAAGCATGTGAACTAGAAACCTATGCGGTTAAGACTTGATCAAAATCAACTTGCGGGATAGAGATCATGTCCGGGTATGAATAATAAGCATGTGGGGCAGATATCATGTGGGGTATGACATTTTATTTTCATGATTGTTTTGATTATTATCTTTACCTCACTAACTCTTTTCATTTTTGTTATCTTTTATTTTATATTCATCATTTGCATCATTCAAAAGAGGTGTTGATCCAGCAAAAACGTGTTTGTTAAACGTAAATAATCTGTATTAATGGACAAAGGGGTTATAATAAAAGAGATGAAAAGCTCAAAAGTCCAGCTATATTCAGAAAAGACTCGGAATGGATCGGGTTTACACCAAGCACTTCAAAAGTCAACTTTTC